GTTTTATATATAGTAGTGTGTATGTGTCAATCCCAATCTCCCAATTTATCCCCCCCCACCATTGCAGTAACCATTTGTTTTCTTCACAGACTTATTTCTGTCTTTACATTGTCAAGCTTACTGACTCCCCAAGACTTTCCCCAATTCACGGCTCTTTTTCTGTGCCTTGCCTTCTCCCATCAGCCTTCTCAGCTAATTCCAGTCTAATCTGCATTGATCTTTTTCTTTTGTGATCCTGACTTCTCCTCTCCCTTTCAAGGACAAGTAGCTCATCTTCCAAACTTAGTTTTATATTTCCCGAGGGCAGGAGCCACGTCTTACTTCTAGTGTATATGTTATGTCTCCCCGACATACAGGAGCCGATTTTTTCATCCCCCCTCCACCCCCAGAGTCTCGTCCCAGCACTAGGCCTTCAGGAACTTGTGGATTTGTTTTAGATGTGCACAGCATCTGCTCAAGTGCTCAGCACACAATGAGAACTCCATAAGTCGTATTTTTAGAGGCAATCTGTTACCACATAAGGACTACCAGAAATTACTCATACTCTTTGTGTAAATGGATTTATACAATTAAAATGTTTAGGAGCTGGAATAAGGATGAGGGAAAGAAAAGCATGAGACTTTTTTTTTTTTAAAGCTGAAAGGAACAATAGAACTTCTAGTCCAAATGTTTTCACTGGTGTGTCACAGAACAGGTGTGAGGATTGTTGAAAATAATTTGTTATTAATGACCATTAACATGTCAACTGTGCACATGATTTACTACTTTTTATGAATCGAAGTGGATTTCAGGTTTCCCCAGCTCCTTTTTATTCAATTGTTTTCTTGACTGAAAAGGTTATGTCTAACTACTTTCTTTTTCAGATGAGGAAACTGGGGCTCAGAGAAAGGACTGGTTCAAGGTCACATGGAGAGTTAGCAGAGGCATGGAGGCAAAATCTGAGGGCAACTTGTCCTCTGGAGAATGGTCCCACACTGTCTTCAGGTCCTCCTTCATAAGTAAATCAGAAAGAATCAGTGTGATTGAAGACCAAAACAAAGCAGAATTCAGAAAAACCCGCAGTCTTACTGCCATAGGAAAATGTTTGTCTCCTGATAAGGGATCAAAGCTGGGGAAAGATTTCTTTTGGAGACACAAGGCAAGACACAAAAGATTTCTTTTGTGAACTCCCCATTTCCTGGCCATCTGTTACAAATCACTCTAGAAAGTGTATATTTACCCCTAAGACTTTACCTTGTCTTTGTACAAATATCCATCCCTGGATATAGACACTCAGAAAGTCCAGTTGGAAAACCACAAACTCCATCAACACAGTCAGAGCCTTCCCCATTTTAATCTGTAAGAACAGAATAATAAACTTATTTAAAATTTTTCATAATATTTGAACTGTTTGAGTAGTAGAACTGAACCACTTTCTGAGAAATTTGCACAAAACAACAATTAGATTGTCTCTATCTGAATAAATGCAATTTAAAAAGAGTAAGATTCCTTCAACAAGCCCTGCTCTCAAATTATCCAGATTATTGGTTAAAATGTTGCTTTTCAGAGATCTATTTAGTACATAAAATAGTTTTTATTCCAAAATTTTGAGTTAAACATTTGCAATGTAATTATACTGTAAATCCTTAGTATCTCAGTGGCATCCTATTTTTTTTTAATTTGCATTTTTTATTAGGAAGACAATTTTTTAAGAGAATGGCTTGGACAAGATAGTCTACATGTCCTTTTCCACAACCTTCTGTAACATGGCAGAAGAAAACAGAAAGCAAAGTGTAGATGGGTTTTCCTTGCATTCACTAAGGCTTTTAATAAGCCCTTTAGACACCTGGAAAGCAGAGGGAGTTTTTGAATAAATGTGTGTTTCTCTTTTTTACCCTTGCAAAATTTATGTCAGCTGAATATTACAGGATCGAGGGCTTTGTTTTTTTGTTTCCAATTAAAATCAATCTGACCAACTAGAGACACAGTGATCCAGCAATAAAACTATGGCTGAAGTTTATGATCAGTTAGAAGCCAAATACACTTGTCAGCTAAGAGGTTTGCTCAATGGAATGAATCGCTGAATTTCTGAAGCTCAACTGAATTGTCCGTCAGTTTCCTTGATGATAAGAAACATGGCAGTGTTGGCTAAAAGGGTAGGATGATGAACAACCAAATGGGAAAACTGCTTTGTGCCCTGAAATGTGATAATATGATTTTCCTAGAGAGATTCATAGTTTAACTTTCCTAATTATCACACAGAATAAGCCCCATAGAAAACTCCCCCTACCAAACAGCTAAATGAAAAATCCCATCACCTTCCTCCCCTCCCCCCAAAGCAGTAGAATGTTGTGATTTACAAAGAAGTAAGAAAAATGTTTTAAACATTTTAAAAGTCAAGTTTTAGGAAGATAAACTAACCTGAGACAAATGTTACATTTGAATCTTGTAAAAAATAAAATCAGACATGGCTGTGTCCAAATTAGACACTTTAAAGGAGAAGAAGGGTAAGAGATTTTCAGGTTTGAAGTACCTGAATAATTGCCTTCATGCATTATTCACTTTGTGTGTAGCAGTCACTCCCCAAATAACCTAGAATCAGAGCATGTCCATTGAGTTCATCCAGGCCAACACTACTCCAGATAGAAAAACTGAGACCCAGTGAGAACTATGACTTATCCTCACAGCTTCTTAGCTGTACGAAGATCAGAACCTCAGACCCTGGGACTCTGTTATGAAACACCACCTCTAGGTTCTTTTCTGGACAAGTTGGACTTTATGAAACAACTGTGTTCTGACAGAAATATGACTTAACATAGTCTGAACCCAAAGAATTTCTCTTCTATATGGAAGACTTAAGAAACAAACCAAACAGACAGGTCCTAGGAAGATCTAAATGATAAACTCTGAAAGAATTCATCATTCAAGCTTGTCAGGGAGTGTATTTTCTCTCAACTCAGAATCTCCTGATTCCAAAAGCCAATAACAAAGAAATCTCAGTGCTCAGCAGTAAAGTTACTTTAAGTCTAGAATGCGATCATTGGGTTCAATAGGCAGATTCAGGTATCACTTAAAATTGGGCCTGCCGGCATGTAATAAACTTTGAACCTTAGCTGTGTGTTACCATAACTTCTCTGCCATCATCACGGTGTGCATGTGTGTGTTCTTCATAAGCTCTGAAAATTGTTCCAGTAACTATTTGTTTAGGACTTCCTGGAATAGCTAAAAACCCATTACAATTGCTTTGAACTTAGATCCTTCAGTTTTCCACCCTTCTTCAGTGTTCACATGAGAGCCAGTCTTATTCATTCATTCATTATGGACATATTTATTGAAAGGTTATATATTCCAAATCACTATGGCAGGTGTTAATGCTGTGAAAGGAAAAGGGGCTTGAGGAGTGAGTGACTTGGCTAAAGATTACCCAGAGCACACCCTATTCACCTCTCCTATTTGCCCAACAGTCACTTTGTGAGCCACAAATTACCTTATATTTTATGTTGTACCAAACATTCTGTTAAGATCAAATGTATCCCAAAGTGCCAGGTAACTAGATCTGACAGATAATTAGCTCTAACGTTCCTTTTTAGGGTCATGTTGATAGCAAACACAAAATAATGGTTGAAAAATAAAATTAATAAAAATGACGTATAACTAATCACATACTGTTGCCCAGGGAAACATGGATCAGGTGCATTTCCAGACCCCATTCAGTAATGACATCTATTTTGATGGTCTTTTCCCAGGATCAACAGGCACATATGATTTGCTGTCTGATATGACATGTGTTCAGAATGGGGGGCTGTATATCCCTTTCATTCCCATTCCATTTCAACTCATTTTTCTTGTGGCTCAGCTGGTAAAAAATCCGCCTGCAATGTGGGAAAGCTGCATTCGATCCCTGGGTTGGGAAGATCACTTGGAGAAGGAAAAGGCTACCCAATCCAGTATTCTGGCCTGGAGAATTCCATGGACTATATAGTCCACGGGGTTGCAAAGAGTTGGACATGACTGAGCGGCTTTCACTTGTAAAGGATGAGATAATCTCGTACTAAGCACCAACTCTCATTCTTCATTAAAACACTCCAGAATGAGACTATTCTGATTGTTTTCACAGACTTGTGAAGGCCATATGAATAATCTGAATATATGGTGAAGACAGTAAATTAATAATCCAAAGAGGGGATAATTGCAAATCATCTTGTTCATCACACAAATCTCAAATCCTTTGTTATACATTTGTGGATGGAACATTACTTGGCAGATATATCCTGATATCCAACCAATGCAAATACCAAATAAGTCACTTTGCTATAGTATTGCCATGATTACAGTAACAAATGCATCTCTCTCTCTCGTTTTGACTCATCTTTGGGAATACAGTTATAACATCTTCTTTAATGAATTCATAATTTCTATTTCTTGGATTTGCATGCCAATCTTTCTCATTTTACAGATATAAAAGTATTAAATCACCTATGGTATTAGACAGAATTTTGTAATGAAAAACAGTTGGCTGTTGTGTGGGTTGGTGTGTGTGGTGAGGGCAGTGTGAAATCAGACTTTCAATTCCTAGAGAGATCTCTATTTGAATTGTTTTATTGTTCTTTCTAATTTTAATTTTTTAAGGCTGATACCAATGGGCATTCATGGAAAAGTATTAGTATGTTTTTAAAAGGACATTTACCCTTAATATGTAAATTCTAATCATACAAAGAAGACCTTAATTTGTAAATATTTGAACAGTATAGACCAAGGCAAAGAGAATACTTTGTCATCAACTCTTCTCAAGAGTTTAAAGAATTTTTCTAACTAATTCAAATGTTCATTTTTAGTCAATATTTATTAACTGAAAGCTAACTATAGCATAAAAGAATTTTATATAAAGTTTATCCAATAAAGCACAGTATCATTTGATCACATTTTCAATATTTCACTTTCCCTATTAACAGCCCAAAATATGGCACTCATTTTTTTGAAACGATGTCACTATTTGGCACAGAAGTCTATTTACACAAGAGTGCATTTCATTTTCCATTTATTCCAGTAACTTGAGAACAATTATTTGCAACTAAATCTAACAGTATTTGTACAAGTACTTTCAAGCTAAAATACTGCTAAAAAATTCCAACACACATGCAGTTTAATATGTTTACATGATCACATATATTTATTATAAAACCTGTGACTCTAAGCACTTTATAGGATGTGAATACAGGAGTCACTCTACCATCTAATGAATCATGGCCACGTCTCACAGAGAAGATGCTGCGGAGCAGAAGAGTCCTGTGGTCAATGGAGTTGAAATGGGTTGGCTACTCGGACTGTTCAGGAATGCTACTGCGCCCTCAGAAAATTGCTTCATAGCTCCAGTCACACAAAACTGCAGTGGATTTTCAAGTATAAGCCCTTAGCAACCAAGTAACTGGTAGCACAAGCAGCACTGGCAAAACACACTCTTATTATGCAGGTGGGCTGTGTGTTAAGCAAAGTTGATATTGAAACTCCAAACATACAAAGAAGATAAATTAGACAGATTATTTGTGTTATAAAATGGTTTTCTGATTTATAAAAGGATTAATTCACAAGTTTCCTCTAAATGGCAGCTCTCCTGATGCTTTTAAAATACAATTTAACTTACAAAACTTCAATTTATATGTGACTTTTTGCACAACCATTGTGGGAAGCAAAGTACACCTATATACAGTACTTACTTTTCTCTCAGGATTTAGGTGTCTTATTGTCTTTGTAAAAGACACTTAAGCCAAAATTTATATTTTAAGCCACTGAAATAGAAAGTCAATACTGCCTCTAAAACATGGATATTCCAAAATTATGTTTGTGATTTTTTGTTTTTACAATTTGGGGATTCATCTTTACAATGTACATCTTTAGATAGCAGAAGTATATAGCTATTTTCAGGCCATAATATTGGGCCCTATTCTGCAGAAACTTGTTTTTACTTTTGTGGGTGTTCTCCCTGTTTAGCTGTGTAACTCTCAAAAGATGTTAATGGTGGTTACACAGTAGCTAGCCCATGATGTATCAGTGTTATACTTCACTGTACAGAATTATCTTCAAAAACTCAACTTCCTGCATTTCACTGCTGTCCCCACTGTTTTTTCAGGTGATGGTCATTCAGATAAAGTTCTCCTTTTTTAGTACTAAGCTCTCTGCAGGGTGTGGGGGTGAGGGGGTGGGCAGAGATCCTGACTACTGTATCTCTGCACCCCCTTAGCACACAGCACAGAGCCTGGCCCCTAGGAAGCAAGCACTCAATTACTTAGTGAATGAATGAAGAAATGGATTAGAATTGTGTAGAAGGATTCCTTCAGTCTAGCTTTCTGGAATGTGTACAGCCATAATGAATTTCTAGAGTCTGAGAAATCACAGAATGTCCCTCTTTTTCATTAGACACTTTTTGTAAAATCCATAGAATATTGAGCCCTTGATGAAATGAAAATATTTAGACAAATTAAATCACCTTAGAGGCCAGAGGATAAAGCAGAGGAAACTGAAGGGTCATTTCCTTACTCACCAACTGCTGGAGGGAAGTTAACAAGGCACACAGGCTGACCAAAGTCCAGAACCAAATTAGACTTTTGGCAATTGTGTCCAGACTGAGAAGTGGTGCTTTTGAGTGTTTTGATACAACCTTAGACACAGGTATATACAGAAACAGCAGAAGCAACTAATTAAGAGCTAGAATCAGAGGGAATTACCATTTGCCAGATATACAGATCTGTTTCAGGCAGGGCCAGGGGAGATCGCATTCTGCTGGCTGGAACCATTTCGCTGTGCTTGTGCTCATACCCATTACAAGCTGCATGTGAAATAAAAGTGAAATAGCAAAATCCAGCTGTAGGAGATAAACATAAAAATCCTAAAATAAAATATGTTTTAAAGCACTTGAGTGGATAAAGCAAAACAATACAATCAGTGGGGATGCTAATAAGTTAAAAAAACATAAAGTGTTTGTGACTGCATTAAAAAATAAAGCTTCACAGTATATGGTGTTTTATGCCTTTAAATGAAATAGTCTGGACCACATTCAAACGATTTCATCTTAAAACCTAACACAAAATAAAGTACACATCTAAGAAGCATGAGAATTTAAAATTAAACCATAGTTATTAAGCAAAAGAGTTTATGAATCTGAGTTCTTCCAGGAGGCCACTTTAAAATCATGTAACTAAATGAATAGTAAGCTATCTCTGCTTAAAATGAATGAATTAGTTTTTCTATGGAGACTAGAATTTTACAGAAATGACTTTATTTTCAGGAGAATACGAACATTGAAGTGGAATCACCACAGCAGTGGTTCTAGGCATAGAGTTTAAACCAAAAAACTCTTAATAGAAGATGGATGTTAATGTGCCTTCATAATAATTCCCTCAAATACCTACCTCAGTGTTCTATGTTTATCACTGCACCAAATGAGAGCAGACACGACAGACTCCTTGTAATTCTTATGTATATAAGAGGAGATGGTTTCCGGAAGCTATATCCAAGTTCAACTGGCAGATCACTCTTGCTCCTCTTCTATGAAATGTAAAATCTCTGGACATTAACCTTCCTGTAGATCATTTCAGCCCACCATTTTAAACTTCAATCTAATGGATTTAAATAAGAATTATGATCTCCAAAGAATGAACATGTAAGCTTGTCACTGTAGATGTTCGGAGATTTTAGGGTATTAAAGGCATTTATTTTCCTGAATGTCCTTTACATTTATATATACACAATTACCTTCTATTGTTAAAAAAATGATTTTGCACCAGTAGTTATTAATCCAAATAATTTGGATTTAAGTAATTTCTAATTGAAAGCCTATCATATGAATTGTTTATAGTGGCAGACAATAAACTGTTAGTCATTTTAAAGCTTTAAAAGTAAGTCATCAGGATCCACTTCAATCTCCACATGATAATAAAGGATTATTATGTGCAGTAACCTATTTATGAAAAGGAAACAGTGTGCTTCTTTCAGATGCCATCAATTGCTTTAATAAGGAACTGAAAAGCTCGACTACTTTATATGCAGATCACCACCCCAGTTGCATAAGGATTTACAATAGACAAAACAAAACTATTTTTTGTTGTAAAGAAGGGCTGTTTGTTTAAATCACACAATAATATTTGCATCTAAAAATTATGTACAGGCTAATAAGGCTTCATAAATGTTATGTAGACTTGGTTAGTTCAAATCATTTTAATTCTAACACCAAAACAAAAAGCTTGCTCAAGCCAAGGAAAAATTCAAGCAATACTCGCCTGAAGGCGGCAGGGGAAGAAAAGATGCCTATTTTCTCCATTTAGGCATTTATTAATTGCGTTGGAGACGCACAGGGTACATCATTTGATAGCTCCCTGTTAACGCTTCCATAAACTCAAGAGGTAAACGCTGCTTTCTCTGAAAATGGGAAAATTGAGATGGATTCTGAGTCTAACCTTTAATCCTAAAAGAAATAGCAAGTAACGTATACATTTGTCTCTTTTGCCTTGAATTTGCAGAGAACTTACTTGGGACATTTAAATCTCACCTTTGAAGTCTTCCTTCAAGGTATTTAATGGCTGTATGTCTTTATTAAATGAGGTGTGTGGCGGCCTCTACTGGTGTGTGTATATAGAAAATGTTTCAATAGGCAGAAAAAATATTAATTTCAATTAAAAAGTTAGAAATACAGACTTTCATTTAAATATAAAAATATCTAATTTAATGCAGGAAAAATATATTACAAGTTGTGTAATGTACTCTTTAATTAGGAAAATAATCTAAAACACTGACCATGTTAGTGTAAAATAATGATTTACGGAAGGGCATTAATTGTTCAATTCACTCTGATATTGGGTTAAATATATTTTATTAATGAATTACTAATCCCAACTGAGGTGGTTTATTACCTCTAGTCCACTGTTAAATCCCCTTAGTTGACTTAAATAAAATCATTTAGAACAAACCCAAAGGAAAGGAAACATTTTCAGTTAAATCTATAAAGTCCTAGAACTAGAATCATTTGATGACAAGCTGGTTTCTATAACTCAAGCAAACTGTACGTTGACTTAATATAGCTGACATTTCAATCTATTTTACAGTGTTTTTAATTTCAAAAATACAACACATTAAAATATGTTCAATTTATCAAAGCTAAAAGCAACATTTAAGTAATGTACTTAAAGTGCAAAGGCACTTTAACATGAAGAAGTGATGCCCAGTGGCTATGCTTGGTAACTGAAGTCCGAAATACCATATATCATTATTTACAAAAGAATTTATAGTCTCAAAAGATCTTTGGAGATCTTCTACAAAATACACTAAATATCCATTTTCATTTGAAAAGTTTGCTTACTGTTTCTTCATTCACTATAATCTCCTCTTCCCATTCCCACACTGGAAAAATAAAAGAAGAAAAAGGAAACACAGCCATAAACAAAGTATATGAAAAATTGCATTGTAGAAACATTCATGTTCAATGATTCCTAAGGAAAGAAGAGGAGGGGGGGGAGGTGGGAGAGAGAGGAGAGCAAGAGAGAAATAATTTAAAGGAAAACTTGAAAAAGCAGTATCATTGCTTCACCCCATCCCCCAAACATCTTCAAAGTCCCCCACTGAGGCTGAGAAAGGGAGAACAGACACACACTAAAGCAAATGCCCAGCTTCCAAGAGTTTGGAGCAGCATCCTTTGATGCCAGAGGGTTGTCAATGATTTCCCTTCACAGCTGACTGATTGCAGTTTGTTTTTCCAGAACTTCGAGGTAGTCTGGTTCTGATTGCGGCTTAGCTTGCAGTAAAGGGTGGTCTGCTTTGGACTGCCCCACAAAGCATTTCCTGGGAGTTCCATATAAAACGGTTTTATTGATTCTGTCTTGGTTTTGGCGTCGAGATTCATAGGAAGGGGTGAACTGCCTTTTAGGTAAGGTACAAAAGTTATAGTGGATGAGTCCCGCACTGGGCAGCTCCTTGACCCGCTCAGCGATATTCTGATACAGCAGCTCGGGCTCTCTCGGGGCCTGCTTTTCCAGCAGCTCCGTGGCACTGATAGTGTAAGCAAGCGTGGCTGGCTCTTCTTTCTTCTCCTCCAGGTTGCTGTAACTGAATTCTTGGAGGTTTCGGTAATAGGCCACCGGGTCTCCTTCCTTCTGCATGTAGATGGGGTTTTGGCACATCTGGCCCACAGGTGGAGGGATGTAGTTATAGACGTGGCCGTCTGCTTTATCCTGGGTCTCGGTGTTGTAAGAGCCGTACTGTAACTGGAAGGAACTTACATCTAAGTTGTTGGCACTCCTAGGAACACTGGGCACCCCCTTCCGGCGTTTCAGGACAAAGACAAATAAGCCAGCGCCAAAACAGACAGATAAGATAAAGACAACCAGCAATCCTAAAATTAGGACGGAAAGTGGAACTTCCGTGTGCAGTTCAGGGTAAGAACTGGGAGACACACTGAGTGAGCGAGGTGTGTCTGTGTTGTGATTCATTGACAAAACGGTTCCATCTGACAAGTTCGGACCGTCTGGACAGATCGCCTCCCTCCCCAGAAACTTCAGGATCTCCCCGGCGTGTTTCGCGGGAGATTCACAGGTCACCTCGTTGATGATGACAGGGGAATTGGCATGCTCTGTCCAGTCCTTCAGTCCCATAATGTCACAGGTGCAGTCCCAGGGATTCTCTTGGAGATCAATCTGGATAAAAGCGGGAAGCTGATCTAGAACTCCTTTCACTGGCAGGTGAGAAAAATGGTTGTTTCTCAGATTCAGCCTGGTGAGGGCCGTGCCCCCAAATATGTTATCAGGCAGGGACCGCAGCAGGTTGTTATTCAGAAACAGCAGCTGTAGGTTAATCAAAGCATCAAAGGTCAGCGGCTTAATTTCCTTAATGACATTATACTCTAAATAGAGATACTGCAAGCTCTGCAGCCCATCAAACATAGCTGGAAACAGCACTTCAAGGTAATTGCCGTTTAGATAAAGTCTGCGTAAACTGGTCAGGTTTGTGAAGGCACCTTCCTGAATGACTGCAATCCTATTGTTGCCTAGATGCAGCAGATCCAAAGAACTGTATTCTAAGAGGTCGTTCTTATAGACCGTTTGAAGATAGTTCCCTGTCAGGTAGAGTTTCTTTGGACTGGTGGGTTTGGGCTGCAGGTCGGAGATGTTGGTGAACTTCCGTTCTTGGCAGTTGACGTTCAGCCCATTGTCGGAGCTCTGAGAGGTGCAGACGCAGCTGCTGGGGCAGGTGAGGGGCACCGGGGACTTGGTCTGGTACACCATGATGGGGCCAAAGCTCTGCCTGTCCTTCGACACTGTGACCCGGGGGGTGGGACGGTTTCTCATTTTGGGTGGCCGGCTGGCTTTTGGAGCCCGGGTCGGGTTGAGAGCAGGATTCAGGGTAGGTGACAGCCTCGGGATGTGTGTGTCGGCGTGGCTGCCCCTCTGAGCCGAGTCGCCGGTACTTTTTCTGGGGCAGAGGTCTTGCCTGGTCAGCTGGGTGACATCTTTGCCGTGCAAGCGGAAGGGGGTTTCACAGACAATCTCCCCCACGAAAACGGTGATGGTGTCCAGCCAAGCCTTGAGCGGAAGTAAGTCGCATGTGCAGTTCCAGGGGTTCTCCTCCAGCTGGATCTCCATGATGCCCCCAATGTGCTCGAGGACTCCTGCAAAAGGCATCAGTTTCAGCCGGTTCCCGCGCAGGTCTAGATGGGTCAGCAGGACAAAGCGGAACACATTGCTGGGCAGCGACAGCAGGAGGTTGTCGTTCAGGATGAGCACTTTGAGCTTGTTCAGCTTGCTGAAGGCCCCCGCCTCGATGGCGCTGATGTAATTGTAGTCGGCCTGCAGGTACTCCAGGCTCTCTAGGCCCAGGAAGGTGTCCTCCCTCAGCACCTCGAGCTTGTTGTTGTTGAGGTGCAGCCTCTTCAGGGTCTTCAGCCCGCTGAACGCCCCGGTGCGAATCTCCTGCAGCCCGTTGTTGCCCAGGTGGAGAGTCACCGCGTTGGAGTAGTTGACAAACTCGTTGGGGTACAGTCTGGTCAGGAGATTGCCATTGAGAAAGAGCTGATAGATTCGGTACTGGGGGGGCTGGAGCAGGCTGACCGTTGTAAATCCTTTGTTTTCGCAGTTAATATTCAGGACGTTCTCCTTCTCTTCGCACAGGCAGCGGATCTTGCAAATGTCTTTGGCAGTTTTGCGACTCTCTGTCTCTAAGATCCCGGCCACGGTTAACACGCTGAGGAACCAGACGCCGCTCAGCATCTTTAGGCGCCGTCGGGGTCAGCTCAGGTACCTACAGGCAAACCTTGGGCGGGGGGCGAGAGAGAGCGGGAGGCGGGGGAGAAAGAAACACGGAGGCCCGATTAAAATGGCAAAGCGAGGGGGCGGCATGGGAGGGAGGAAGACGGCGGGGAGTGGGCAGCGTGGCAGAATGATATCACTGCGTTTTTTTCGGCGGGCAGCTGAGTCCCCCGGGGATCCCGGGGGGTGCGACTGCGCGCGGAGCTGGCGAAACCTGCCGGCCGGGTCGGCTGGCGACAGCGACGGCCGAGCCCGGGCGCGCACTTCCAGTCCCGCGGCAGTGGCAGCAGTGTGCCTGGCAGTTTGAATTTGAGAGGCTTTGCGGGTTCCCCGGGACAGGGCTGGGGTGACGTCACGGGGGAGGGGGCAGGCCGGGGAGCGAGGGCGCGCGGCGGGGGAGGGAGGGGCAGACGCTTCCCTTCCCCGCGAGTGGCTTCGCCAAGCTCGAATCCCGGCTGCGTCAGTTGCTGCTGAACTCCTCCACCTCCAGCCCGGCGGGCGGCGGGTGGCTGGCGGAGCTCCTGGAAAGGGGGTTCTCCAGGAGCGGCCCCGCTATGGGGTTGGCACCGCCAGGACGCCTCGGGCCCTTCCGAGTGGTTTCTCCCACCTGCCCCTCCCTCCTGGCCCTTCCACTGGGACTGGTGGGGAGGATGTTGGTGTCTCATTCCAGATTCCGGAGCAGGGGTTCCATCTTCCGTGTGTGCGAAATCTTCCGTGTGTGTGTGTGCCTCTTTGCTGTGTATGTCAGATCTTCCGTGTGTGTGTGTGAAATTTTCCGCGTGTGTGTGCGCGCGCGCTCTCGCGCGCCTCTTCGCTACAGGACTGAGCCGGCCTGCCAGCCTCCTAGCTGAGATGCTTTTGGTGCGGAGAGCGGGCTGTGTGTGCACCAGTGTGCCTGTGTGGGAGGACGAGGAGTTCTCCCGGGGCTTCTATGCTTTGCATTTAGAGCTTTGTTTCAGTGCGCAGAGAATTGCTTTCTGGGTGGTGACTGGCCAGATATTTGCCTGGATTCTGACAGCCAGCCCAACGTTAGCCTATAGACTGAGCTAAACAACAACAAAACCCTTCTCCCCCTGAGGTTTATACTTAGCCAGATAATGAGGTTTAAACGTGTACTCTTAGCCTGAAGGAAGGAGAAGAGAGGTGGGTGTCAGGCACTGCCAGGCTGCGCCTTAGCGGGGAGTGCAGTTCACAAGGGTACAGAGCCCTCCAGGCTGCAGGGGCCGGGGACCCAGGGGAACAGAAGCCACCGATGCAGGAAGACTGGCTTCTGAGAAAGAAGAGGGATGACCCGAGTCCTGGCCTGAGACTCAGGAAACCTGGCCTCCGGTCCAGTTTTGTTGCCAGGTGTGTCTCTTTGTTTCTGGATCTTCCTGTCCCCACTGGCACAAGGGGGTGGACTATTCCACCCCTTCCAGGTCTGATAATCAACTGCATTCAGATAGCCTTTCCTCATGAATATTATTGGCCAGGTGTTGGCTTTTTGCCTTCAGTATCTCATTTTCCCCTAATTATCTTAAGGTCCCCTGGACTTTTAAGTTGCCCAGTTGGAGTCCATTTACAAAATGGGAATGTCTGCCCATGGCCCAGAAGGGCCAGGGGCTGCCTCTGGTGGGAATGGGGGGGATGAGGCAGCAAAAGTAATGAATGGAAGAGAATGGGAAGAGTTGACCAAGCGAGGATGTGCCAGTCCAGCCAGACACTTCAGCTGATTCTTCCCTGCCTCCTGGGCCCTGCCTGCCACAGTCCACACAGGGTCCCATGGGTGGGCCAAGGGTGGCAGAGAGGCACTGGCAGAGGTGATAAACCTGCAGAGAACAGCAAGCCCCCTGCCTCTCCCCTCCTCCTTTCCTGTGAAGCTGAGGTCCTAGAATTGTCCCACCCAAACAAGTTCTTCCCTCCCCAAGAAGGGCTGGCTAGTTTATAAACAGCTCTCAAGCAACCTGTGGCTTTGGCCAGTCTCCTCCACAATTGGTCGCAGGCCACCTTCTTTCCCCTCCTTTTCCTTTGGGGAAGAGCCCATCCCCATCCAGTAATTCTGGCTTTACCTTGGGCAACACCGTTTCCTTCTGGGCCTTCGAATTTCCCTTTTCTCTGCTAAAGGGCAACAGTAGAGGAACTGCCCCAAAGGGGTAGGACTTAGCCTCCCACCCACCCTGGCAACTACATCATTAGATGCCAGTGGAATGGTGCAGTGCCAGCACGATTAAACTGCCTTCCAGTGTGGAGGGGCATTTCTTTCTACATATTTCCAAATGTTATATATACAGAGTTCCTAGAGAGAGATGGTTTATTCAGTCATTCATATAACAACCATTTATTAATTAGGTTAATATTTCACTGAAGTAGAAGCCAACATGAGAGCTGGACAATACCTTTGCAATCAGATTCATTTTCTAGATGAGGACATTTCCTCAACCAGGGGAAGTGCTGACTTGCTTAAGTTCAAGAATCTATAAAATTAGAAACAGAACCCAGGGATTCTGAGTCCCAGGCCAGCAGTTCTCCAAAAACTCACTCCTGCTTACCGTGAATTGGTGGTGGTGGTGGTGTTTTACTGAAATGTGTTCTTAAAAACAAAAATTTTTTAAGTGAAATACAAAATATGAGTTTTAGTTTTCAAAGATCGTAATTTCCTGCAGGACACGGATGACTCTGTCAATACTGTTTTAGGACAGCATCTACTAGGAATTAGGGCGGGGGTTCGTCAATGGATGACGGAGGCGGTTGAAATCCTCGACACCACAGGGCGAGGGAGACGGCGCGGTAGGCTGCCTGGGGGAGCGGCACTGGGGACCCCGCGGGGGCGGCAGCGGTCCCCTCAGACGCTGGTCGGTGGACCCTCCCACCACTGCCGCGTCTCCCGGCGGTCCCCGGGCTGCTGCAGCCGCTTCCCCAAACACAGTGATGGGGAAAAAAATCGGCCTCCACGCCGGAAAGCACTTTAAGGAAGTTTCCTTCGGCCCCGCGAGTCGGGAAGCGCCGCCGCGGCTCCCCGCCGGGGACAGCGGCTCCCGGGGCGGTGGAAAGGGGCCAAGTGAACGCGGAGCACGCGGGAGGCAGAGGCGGACGCTAAAATCGGGCAAACGCTCCCAGTCCCCGCGTGGGCGACGAATGGAGAAACTGGGACTCCGCCGCCTCGGTCTCCTTCGCATCTTCCCAAGTGAAGCGGGGCTCGGGTCTCCGGGGCCGCCTGCCGCAAGTGCGGGCGGGCGCGCAGCTCCCCTCCGCCCCGCCCGCCAGGGGGTTCACGGAGCCCGGCCGACCCGGGGAGGGGGCTTCCACCGCCCGCCCGCCAGCAGCCTTCAGCCCCCGCTCCGCCTCCCCCGGCCCAGCCTTTCCCGAGAGCTCTTCTGGGAACCCAGAAATCCGGCGAGTCCCGCGAGGCCAGGACCCGGGCCCGACCGCTCGCGCAGACCCCTCCTGCTCACGCGCCTCCATCGCCGCGACGGCCGCTCGCGCCCCGCCGCCCCCTTCCTGGACCCGGGTCGCTTCTCAGCCCGGCGCGGCCCGGGAGCAAAGGCTTCGCGGCGAGCGCGGGCGGCGCCCCCAAGGGCAGGCAGATCCCCACTGGAGCGGCTCGCCGCCGGGCAGCGCTGCCGGCAGGAAGGAGGGAGGGAACCGGGAGGGAGGCGGGGAGGAGGCGGGAGGGGGAGGAGGCAGGCGAGGTGGAGGGCGGGCTGGCGGACCCCCGCCCGCGCTTATCAATCACCCCGCAGATCAGATGTCCCTGCGCTGCACCCGGGCGGCGATGGACAGGCCCACAAACGAGCCTGGCTCGGCTTCTCTGACCTGTGCCGCGGAGCCCGGCTCCCGCCTCCCGGCGGCCCCTCTCGTCTGGAAATCTGCCCAGTCCCTGCAGCTTCCACCGGGAGCTGCGGCGCGGACACGGTCAAGTGATATCAGGATGGCACGGGGTCCGGACCGTAGGCGAGGGGACACTGAGACCTCAGGGTGGAAGTTATGGACAAGTGAAAGCGGCCAGCTCTCCGAGCCGGCACCGTCCGGGACGGCCGCCCCCTTAACTAGTGAGCGCCCGGGGCTCGCAGCTCGCGGGTAGATGTGTAAGGACACCCAACGAGGCAGTCAACACGGCATTTCCATATAACGTGGAGCCGGGCGACACCAGCGTCCGCCAAAGCCAGTCTTTCGCCACGGCCCAATACCTGGTTCCGTTTGATTCTTTTCATTCTTCACGAGGTTGCCTGGGTCGACTGGCGCGGACTCGGGGCCACCCGCCTTTCGGCTTTCTCCTTTCTTTCGGCTCTGATTAGTAGTCCAGGTGGTTGTGTTTTGATCACGGGAAGGTGCTATAGTTGAGGGTCTTGGTAGCTCCAGAGGAAAGTGCGCCAAAGCCCAGAGCGTTGCGTTTCCCTGCACACCCGCTTTCCCTGGGTCTCCGGAAGAAAGTTGCGATTGTATTCATTGAAGACGCGAGCAGGTAGTAGATGCAATGGCACGGAGACTTTACCCCCTCAGTCCTGGAGGAGAGCAGCCTTAAGGAGAGTCATCACTGTCCCCTCTCCTTTTTATTCCCTCTCTACAGAGTCTGTAAAACCCCAGTTCTTCAGAAATCCACTCGCTTGGTGGCAGAGAAGGAGAGCTGAGGGGAGGAGGATGCAACATTAGAGCAAAAACTAGCTCTGGGCTAATGAATCTGCACTGCAATCTGTCTGTTTCAGGGTTATTTCCTGTACGTTTAAACCAGGTTCTCCCGACACAAACTTCCATTTCATTCTTGTCCTTACCCTGGGGAATCTTTTGTGCTTCTTCCTTCTCTTCTAGGCTTTCTTTTCTTAATGGTTTTCTAAGCAGACCACTCTGGGCCTCTTTAATAGAAAATTACTGATAATCTTATGCACGTAGGCAGACTTTATTTTAGTAATAGTCCAGATAATTTTCTCTTATATCTCTGAGGTTTTAAGGAGCATTACTGTTCCTTTTGACTTCAGTCCTGAGAAAGCCTTTTTGAAATTCCCCTGCCATTCAGACAAGCAGTTTCAGAATAACAGAGTTCTCACATATGCACATGGGCAGGCTATTTACAGTTACATATTCAGAAACATTGCTTTTCTTTAATACCCTTATTCATGTAAAACCTGTTCACTATGACTATAGCAGCAGCCTGAACTCATTATATTATT